GCAAACATGGGTCACGGTGGATGTGTCCCATCAATGAGGAGTTCAGAAGGCTATGTCTGAAGCTTATGAGGCCTCAAGGGATAAAGTGAGGGAGCTGAGAGCCACAAAGTTTTATTATATTGCCCATCACCATGACAACTAAGAACAAACCTGCCTCTTACTCTCTCCCCCAGATGCATCATTCCATGGCTTTCTAGTGCCTCCAGAATGAGCAAAATTTCCACACATGCCCAGCCTCGGCTCCTGGGCCAGGTGTCCCAGGATCTTTGTCTGGAGTGCAGGCCGGCTTGATGGGCAAAGAGGCCATGTAGTTCTACCGAGATCTACCAGAGTGATAGCATAAGTAGAGAGAAGCTGTGTGTGTCCCAGGATTTCCCGTGGCCTCTATGATCTTGATGGTCTGAGGCAGGATGTCCACTGTGCAGCCCTGTCAGTGCCTCCCTCTTCTTGTCAGCAGCTCTTCAAACCTTCCCCAAGAGTCCCAGGAAGGAGAGTGGCTTTTGGAAGAAAAATTAAACATCTGAGGTTCAAGAATTGGAGCTCAGTGAGGCACCCAGCCTTTGGGGTCAGGGGCCAAGGCGATAACCTGTCATATTCACAGCACCCAGAACAAGGCCTGAGCTCTCTTCACTGCAGTCTGGACAAGCCAAGACCCTGTGTCTGCCCAGCAGGCCTCATAGGCTTATGTGAAATGCCAAAATGTCTATTTGTTACCAAGTGGAGGCTGCACAGCCCCTTGTCCTTCACAAGGCTGTGATGGGGGCTGGTCTGGCGCTGGGCCTATCACCTAGCAGCAACAGAATACTGTACATTTGATGATTTTATCATTTGTTTCTCAGACTCAGCTTCCCTCTAGGTGAGGATGAGTTTGTTGGTTTGAATCTGTTAGGAATGGTCTGCACAGATTCAAACTGATGCTGTGCGGGGCGGGGGGCAGGGAGATGGCTGGTTTCCACAGCAACCCAGGAGCCCTTTTAATTCCGCTCTGCAGCCCAGATGCCGCACAGAGAGAGGCCAGGGCCACCATCCCACCCCTCCAGGGCGCGGTTGCATCCCCCAGAGGCCACCATTTCCACATCTTCAGGTTTCCCATTTCAGTTTCTTGGTCTCCATGAAATGGCTGGGGTGCCCACAACTATGAATACTCAAGTATTCAAAAGAGGTTCATCTAGCCAGGGCACTAGCAGCCATCCAAAGCCATCCTTATTCTCAGATGAAGAGTTTCTCACAAATACCTACTGTGTCCTTGGTAGCCTCAGACCCTCCAAGCAAAGAAGATAGTCAGTCAGTCTGGGTTCCACTAACCAGGTACATGATTCAATCTCTGCCTCCTCATCAAACCATTTCCTGTTCTCCCTGAACCAGCTTGTGGATTCCTGAAGCCAAGCAATACAGAGGGAAGCCTGGCCTCCTGAGGTCCTGATTTCTGGATGTTTGAGGCTTTTCCCTTTAGCCATGCAGGGCAGCCAACCATGCTCCTTCTGAGCATGAGATGGGCTGTAACACATCTAGACTCTGTCCCTAACCATGTGCTATTCACAAGCCCACTTGAGTCTGTCAAGCACTCCCAAGCTGCCTGCAGTCAGCCTCCATCCCTCTACAAGATCAATAAGCCAAGTTCAAAGAGTACAGGGAATGCCACAGCTTTGATTGAGATCCTAACACTTCAGAGGTGGCAAGAGCCACAAGCTCAGTCCATGAGACTGGCTTGATGATCTCCTCACAGTATGAAACACTGACCTCTCTCGATGGAGGCAGAGCCTGGGGGCAGAGGGGGAACCAGGGCTGTCCATCTGCTAGAGAGACTTAGGACAATGCTCTAAACAGGACAGGCAGCTTTGGAGCCCTCTGTACCTTTGCTGTCCAGTGAAGCTCCTTTTAGAGAGAGTGTCTGTGGTAAGATTTGCAGTAGGAAGCAGCTGGGCAGCCACATGCTGCCCTGTGCCAACAATGGTGAGAACCTAGGAGATCTGATCAAGTTCTGAGGATATGTTGCCTGGGAAAATGGCCCCAGAGCCAATAACAGCAACAGCTTTTCACATACAACCTATAAGCAGGACATTCTTCTTTGCACTTTTAAAAGGTTGGAAAAAATAGGAATAACATTTCATGGCACGTGAGAACTGTGATTTTCCAGTGTTGGCGTCGAGCCAGGCCTTTGCTGAGGACTTGGCTCCACTGTCAGGGCGGGGTGTTGTGAGGAGGACCTGGCCTTTGGACCCTGAGAGAGGTGCTGCCTGGCCCTTTATGAAAATGGCCATGGTGGGATGGTCCATGCTGTGTGTCCACAGGGACTGTCCTGTCTCAGTCAAACACACATCTACAAAGTTTCCAGGGTGGAAACTTCATAGCTGTTGTAAATGCAAACAATCCATTGCTATTTACTACACATGAGGAAGATGGCCCTGGATGACTAGGTCGGACGACCTGCCTGACAATGAACAGGCCTGAAGACTATAGCTGAAGGCTTCTCAAGATGAAATCCTCAAGGACAAATGTATCAGCATGTGCTGGAGACTTCCAGACAGTCATCTCTACCCTGTCATCCTGCTGTCCCATGAGCCAGCTCCTTGCAAATCACCATCCCCCGTGACTGTCGTAGCTGCAGAAACTCTCATCCTCTGCTGGCATCTCTGCAAGGACTGGACCCTGGGACCTTTTGTCAGCAGAATGTACCCTGAGCATAGACCCACACTTGTGGGGCAGAAATTGGCATCTCCCTACATAGAGGGATTTTACCTGTCCTCCATGAGGGTCCTTGCTGCTTGCATCTAGCGGCCTCGGGTTAGGGGTTATTTCATTGCCTTGTCCCGGCCTTGCTCTTTTCCTGAGCTTTCCTCTGTGGCCAGGTATTTCTTTTTTGGCCAGGAGTGAGCAGGTATTCTGGGATGACTGTTTCCATGATGCCCAGAAAGCTGCTGTGTCCCCTAGCAACACTGCATCCATCCATCTGGGGATGCCCAGAGGAGCAGCCTAGGAAAGGGCTCAGGCTTTATGGCACCTTGTGCAGGGACAAGTTCCTAACTGCTGCAGGGCCATTTACATCACTCCCAGTGTTGACACATAAGAGACCTGAAGCTGGAGCCACCTTGCCAGAGAAGCAGCAGCCCACAGCCAGTAAGAAGCAAGCGTGGTCTGTCTAGCAAATAGGACAGGGTGACTTCCAAAGCAGCAGCCAGGGCTAGGTGGTAACCAGCCACATACCTGACTGTGCCGTGCCTCAGTTTCCCCATCCCATAGAAGACCTACTATGTGTTGATGCGAAACAGCAGTTCTCAACCTTTTGGGTCAAATGACCCTTTCACAGCGATCACCTAAGACCATCGGAAAACACAAGAGATTTACGTTACAATTCATAACAATAGCAAAATTACAGTTGTGAAGTAGCACCAAAATGGCTTTATGGTCGGGCATCACCACAATATGAGGAACTGCACTAAATGGTTGAAGGGTTAGGAAGCTTGAGAACCACTGATACAGAACATGGACCACCATGTAGGTCATCATGGTACCTCTGTCACCATCAATCTCTGTCAACCCAGAGATTGATGGGCAGCTCTAAACCTAGGCCCTGGCACAGACGCAGAAGGACATGTGTGACAGCTATGAGCAAGTGGAAGCCACTAATCCAGTGCCCCAGTATTGGTGAAGCCAGGTCGATTCTGGAGACTTTAGCTGCACAGTGCAAGGAAGCTATGACCTAGTCTTGGTTCTGGCCACTCCAGGAAGAAGCTGAGAGACATCAAGAAAGGCATAGAGATCGGTAGCCAGGACTCTTCTGCCTCTGCTGAGGTCCTGGGCCACTGTGATGGACCTGGGACCCTGAGGGGAAATAGGTGTCAGAGCTCACTCTGGTCCAGACACACACACACACACACACACACACACACACACACACACACACACACTTAGATCATCAGCCAGGATCCATCAGGTGAGACCTTGGCTGACCTCCAGTCCCTGGAGAAGAGACTCAGAGTTCAGAACATAGGGAGGTCTCCGTGACTCATAGCATGCTGAGCAGGCAGGATCCCTCTGGGTCAAGACTCTTATCTGAAATTCAGGGCTCATATCCTCAATGTCCCCACTGAGCTCTGGGACAGAGGACAATTGGCCACGCCCCACCCAGAGGTTCCACACCACAGGACTTACGGAACAAGAATTACAATGTTCCTGGGTCTAATTCTGCCGTTATGATTCTTAACTATCTCTCCCCAGGAACTCCAGCTTCCAATCCTTTAAACACCAGAGAAGCTAGGACACCCCCACCCCCCACCCCCGCTAGAGTAGGCGCTAGCTTTAAGAGCACCTGGAAGAGCAAAGTAGCTGGGCAGGGGACTGAGGGCCACAAGTAAAGGAGTGAGGCGGAGAGGAAAGGGAATGGTCTCCAAACAGATGTCTCCCAATCACAACGCCATACCAACATCTACCTTGTGAAAAATCTTAACCTGGCCCTCCTGTCAGGCCTCCAGCCTGGGCCAGGCTGTCCTGCAACAGCTGAGACCCTGTGCTCTGGCCTCTGACACACACCTCTGTACACTTTCCTTCTCCGGGCTCAGTTCTTTGGCCCAGGTCGGGAGAAGGGGTACAGCATTGGGGTTAGGGAAGACACTTTCTGCCCAGCCAGGCCCTGTCCACAGGCAGGACCAGCCCTGCTGACTCATGATCAGATGGTCTTCACCTCAGTTTCAGCATATTTGGATTTGAGAAATATTTTAATACAGGAATTGTGAAGATTCTTCCAAAAATCAATTTCCGTTTTCACCTTCCCGTTCCTGGAGCCCTCGACAGACAGGGCTCTCTTCTAAAAAAAAAAAAAAAAAGACGAAATAACATCATCCTGGGGGAAATTTGGGGGGAAATGCTTTAATGTGAGTTGTCTGTAGCTGTTGGAAGCAAGCAGCAAACGCTGGTCGGTTGTCTCTTTAAATCGACTCTGCAGTGTGACGGGCAGCGGGGCCGCCAGGCTGGGAAGAACCATTCCCGCTCTGCCGCAGGGAGCCAGGGCACCGCGCTGCCGCGGTCCGCGCCTCCCCCAGTCCCCATGGTTACAGCTCCTGCTTCCCGGCCGGTCCTTCATTCCCCTGGCTGTTGCTGCAGAAATCAGGCGCGCAGGCGGCTGGCGTCCCCCAACCCAGAGCTGGAAACTGCCTGCAGAGTGCGCATTGGATGCCTGCTCTTCTCCGCTCTTCTCGGCTCTGACTCACTCCCTCCGGGTGCAGAGCTCTGTCCCCAGCGCAGTGCTCTGGCCGCTGCCAGGCGCCAGGCTGCAGCCCTGCAATCTGTTGATAACTCCACTCACAAGCTCCCGTCTAATGCCTTTCGTCATAGAAAGCTGTCCCCTAGCACGAGGGACATGCCACATCTTGCCTATGAGAAGCGTGAGACCTGTGCCTCTCCAGCTGCCTTTACCAAAATAGGTGAGAAGTTGGTTGGCTTCCTCCTGGTGTCTGAGAAGGGAAGGGAAGGAGTTGCGCTTGTGGCCAAGCTCCTGGCCGGCCAAGGTATCCACTCATAAGGGCCATTGCTGGAGCAGAAACGCTGGAAGGGGTTCGACCGCTCATGACGTTGGGAAAGGTGGATTCTGAATAACTTTGGGTAAGTCTGGGTCTTGAAGCCCTAGCAAGACCACATAGTTCCAGCACAGGCAAGAATGTCCATGTAGGAGACGCCAGCCCTCAAGGTCTGGCTTCTGCCTGCCGGGTCTGCCCCGGGAACTGAGAGGTTTGTTCAGGATTATTTGATTTTCGTGATTTAAATTGACAGTGTTGGTCTGGCTTGTGCAGCCTGAAATAAGCAAGTTGCGTTCTTATGTCGAGGTGGTGAGCAGAGACTACTTTAGGGATGGTTCCTGGCTGCCGGGAGCCAGGTTTCCTCCCAAGTCCCAGCTCCGGTTGTCACCTCTACGGATGCCTCATTTGGAGGCTGAGCCAGGGACTCCAACAGGCTGTCCAGGCTGATAGGAGCCAGAAAAGGGCAACCCTGGGAAGGGACTGAGGGCTGAGTACATCTGGGTACTGACCGGTAATGGGCTGGGAGAACCCTCCCTTGCCCTCTGACCATGCACTGTCTTTGCAGGTGGGTCAGCCTGCAGGTCCTCGTCCATCCTGTCACAGTCACTCTGAGGGAGCCTTCCCAGGAACTCCACTGTGACTCTGTTTGGGACTTGACCTTCCAGATGGCCATGGAGGCTAGAGGGGAGAAGGGCGCAACATAGTGGTCTCTGTCAGCAACCCTGCCGGTGCTCTTGCCTCCCTAACTCTGCAGGGCTCATGGTGAGTACACAGAGCAAGGGGCCAAACCCCTGCCGTTCACACTAGACCGAGGGCTAACACCTCCGTTAGGTGGAGGAGGCCTGGGCAGGAAAAGTAAGTTACGGGGTGGTTAGGCAGTTAGCCACTGTCCAGCATGTGCTGGGTCTTGGGGTGGGAGAGCTCTATGGGGGTGGTGCTGAGGGCAGCAGGGTCTGGCTGCCCTGGGTCTCTGGCTGCCTGCCAGGGTCTGTCTGCTCACTGGCTCACTTGGTGCTGTTCATACTAATTAGCTGCAGGCACACGGCAATGTCGAATCATTTAATCAACAGAGTGGCATCCATCCATGGGGCTCTTGTCCATGCCTGGGAAACCTTGTCTAGTCCTAGATTAGGTTCCCTCCCATTCAGGGGGTCTCAGTCAGGTCACCAGGCCCATCCCACTGTCCCTGCTCTTCAGAAAGTCAGGTGGCTTCAGCAGCTATGGCTACAACAAGAGGGGGAGGGGTGCTTATCTCCCCTAGAAAGGGGTAAGGACAGTGTGGTCAGTGGGTTGGAACAGTGTCCAAGATATGGTGGGGCCTTTCCTGAAGGCTCCCAGAAGCTTTTATTGTGGTCGATGCCTATTGGCCTCCAGAAAGGCTGACACCCGAGTAAATAATGTATTGTGTATGCTCCTAAGGGACAGCTGACAGGGGCAGCTCGAACTGGGGTGCGTGCTGAGAATGCCAATGACCACCAGGATAACATGTCGGTAGCCAAGACATGGGCATAGGTGGCTTGGTGCAGACCTGTGTGTCTGCCTCGTAAGGAGCGTTCTGTCTGAGTCACTGCTCTCTTGCTTCTTGATCCATACAAAATGCCCCAGAAGAGGGACCCCTGATACCCAAACCCTTATCACTTCATCATTGTTGGCTGAGGCAGAGGCTGTGTCCATGTTCTCCCCTGACCCTAGCAAGGTTACCTGTTTCAGGCACTGGCAGCTCTCAAAGGAGAGCAGCCTGGGCTCAAGGGTCTTTTGGCTTCTGCCTCTGTCTCCTACTGCCCCCAGGTGCCACACCCAACATGGCTGTCAGCCCTAAGTTGGAATGGTTTGTGGCTTTCATTCTCAAATGCAGGATGTTTGCAAAATGGAAACCTGCCCTTGGCAAATGATAGGTAAACTGATTGGAGCTTCAGAAGGCATGGGTGGCTGCAGCGCCCACCCTGTGGGACCCACTGGGCAGAATTTAACTGCCCAGCTCAGCCCTGCCTCTTCCAGCTTCTTACAAGCCTCTGGCTCTCACCCACACTCATCTCCTTATGCTAGAAGTGCCTGCCCTCTGCCTGCTTTCGCCTCCATGTGCAGGACTCACAGCAGTTGCCAACAGCCCTGTGGAGATCACAGTTCCACACAAGGGCAGTGCCAGACTTCAGCAGCCCAAGGCTGCCCATTCACGAGCCCACACTGTAAATGCCTCCCTGGCAACTTGGCCTGGAGCCTGTGGACTTTCAGACATTTTATTACTGTCAACTGATAGTTTGCAGATGAAAAGTATCTGAGAAATAGACACAGTATGGGTGGCCCACCTAGGTGCCATACCTTCTGTATGTCTACGGGCTGTGGAGAGGGTGCTGGATGATTCACCTGGGACCCAGGGGCAGAAGGGTCAGTGGTTCTGAGACTGCTTGGCCTTGGCTGAGGCACCATAGCTACCTGCAGCGTGCCTACTAGAACCTCTCCAACACAAGTCTAGCAGCGAGCCACCTTCCTTCTCCAGGGCTTATGGCACAGCTAGTGGTCTTCTGAACCATGTACCAGGGCTTAAAAGAGGATTGGATTCGAGCCTCCTTCACTTAGGCCACGTCATGCTCTTCTTCCCAAACATTAGTCCTGTCTGAGTCTCCCTGTGACCAAGTCCAATATGTGAAGCCGGGGCCATCCTTCTCAGGGCATCTGGGTCACGGAGGATGACACACTCTGAGGCAAACTAGCTTGTTTCCACAGTAGGCACCTCTGTTTGATTCTAGCAGACACCCAGACATGGATGGCTTTGCCCTCTGTCACCTGTGATTCTCACAGTTAGCACCAAGAAAGCACACTCTCAGAGAGAACAAAGTGACACCTGTGAATGACAGGGAGAGTTGTTGAGCGTCCGCCTTCTCTCTGCTGGTCCTTGAGAGCATCCAAATTTAGTGGAATTACTAAGGCACTTTCCGCTTGCAGAGCTCTCATTTTCTGGCAACTAGGGGTGGGGAAGTAAACAAGACAGACTGATGTGACAGACATGTTCTGCTGTGGTGTGGGACAGGGTGTTGTGGGGTGTGTGATACAGGCTAGTGTGGTACAGAACAGGGGATGTAGAATGAGGTGGGGTCGGGCATGGGGTGTGAGGTGGGATGGCACAGAAGACACGCCGTAGAACGTATGGAAGAAGACGGCGTGGCACGTAATGCGTGGCGTGGAGCGCACGGTACACGCGTGAGGAATGGAATGTGCTGTGTGGGGTGTGTGTTGTAGGTGCGTGTTATGGCGTGTAAGGCATAGGCTGTGTGGTGTGGGATGAGTGACATAGAAAGGGCGGTGTTTGTTGTATGGTGTGGTACGGGATTTCGGTAAAGATGGAGAGTGTGGGGAGAATCTGCAGGGTGGGTGTGTGTTGCAGGGTGGCACGGAGCGGGCTGTATGGTACCGGACGGTGTGATACAAAAGGTAGGGTCTGGATGTGTGCTGCAGACTAGGGGGCTGCGGAATGTACGGCTGTGTGCTGTACGGTGGGATGGAACGGGTGGATGGTACAGCATGGTGTCACATGAGTGTGTGGTCTGGGGTGGGTGGGGTGGGTGTGCATTGTGGAATGCATGGTGCGGGGGGGATGTGTGATACGCAAGGGGCAGTGGTGTGAGCCGGCGGGGAGGTCATACGGATCACCTCAAAATCTGGGAGGCTGAGGCGAGAAAACGGACATGCGTCTGAGGCCAGCCTGGGCTACATGGCAAGTCCTTGTCCCAAAAGCTAAAGAATGGTGTGGTGTAGAGTGTTATTGAGCGAGGCGGCGGTCATGCAGATGGGGTGGAGAATTGCGTGGAGAATTGCGTGGAGAAAGGAAATGGCCACGAATGAGCCGCTCTTGTACGCTGGGGTATTGTGGAGTTACCCCATGTGACATAACATAGGATAGAATGTGGGGGGGGGGGGTATGGAATGACACGGTGAGGAATAAATACGGAGTGGAGTAACGTGAGCTTTTGTGGAATGGGATGTCACAGTGTGGTTTACGGTGACATGCCTTGGCATAGCGTGGTTTAGGATGGACTGGAGTAAGACAGCACGGAGCAGGCTGGGAAGGATTAAGACGGCACTGGATGGTGGGGCGTTCTGGAGCGGCATGGCGATGAAACCCGTGGCTGGGATACGGTGGTTAGCGTGCTGCTGGATGATGTGCTTGGGATGACAGTGCTGAATGCTGTGGTGTGGGAATGTGTGATACGGGGTGGCACGGCGTGGGGTATCCTGGCGTGGAATGCTGCTGCCGTGTGGTGTCGGCTCCTGGCTCCTGTAATTGTAATATTTGAGTCGAGCTGATCAGGCGCTGCTCCTCTGTGTTGGTTATGACCACGCTGTGGTCTGAGCACTATAGACAGCAGTAGCAACCATGGCGGCTGGAGCTTTTACAGAGAACCCTGTTAGGCCTCACTTGCCAGGGCCCTAGGCTTACCTCACTGCCACTGGATTGTCCTTAGCCACATTTGACAGGGACACAGGGCCTTGCCTAGCCCCTGCTTGGGGTCAAAGATCCCGAAACATGGTATATTTGCAACACCCTTTGTGTCTGCTATCTACTTTCAAAAAAAAGACAGGAGAGAGGACTAAAGACCCACAAACACCTAAAAGAACTGAGTTCGATCCCCAGAGCCACATTAAAGTGAAAGGAGAGAAGCGACCTCACAAAATTCTTTGGCCTCCTCTCAGGATCCACAGACTGCGCTTACCCGACCCACCCATACACCCATACACACACACACACACACACACACACACACACACATACAGAGAGAGAGAGAGAGAGAGAGAAATAATAATCAATTAAATAAAAAAGATATACTTTAAAATGCCAAAGGCACTGGAGAGATATATAAAGGGTAAGCCCTCAACCCCTGGCTCTGCAGCTCTATGGAACCCAGACAACCCCCAAGGCACTGCCTTCCTCTCCACAGAGTGCCTGAGAATCACAAGGTAGCGAAGGGATACACTACTTTCAGGTGCACAGGAAAAGCTTTGCCTGTGTGCGATCAGCTCTGGGACCGTGGGTGAGGGGATTTCTGTAGCCCTAAGCTAAGAAAAGCGTATGATTCCAAATGTGATGGGTTCGTTTCAGCCTGGTCCGGCTGTGGCACTTGGGCACCAGCAAATGGCCTAGCCCTGCCTCCCCTTACAGGCAGGTGGAAGATTGCTGCATTGATCAGCGGCTCAGAGCTTCTGCTTGCAGAATGTGTTGGGGTTTGTGTAAATGTGTGTGAGTGTGTGTGTGTGTGTGTGTGTGTGTGTGTGTGTGTTATTGTTATTGTTATTTTCTGCTTTTGATTTTTGTTTTATTTGGTTTGATTTGTTTGTCTTTTTCTTTTTGTTCATTCCAAGGTCTACATGCCCAGAAACGTCTCAGAGCTACCTCTCTGTCAGATAGAGCTTTTCTGATCTCAACATTCCCCTCAACTATCCACACTAAGAAGGCAGCTACCAGCCCAGAAGGAAATCTCCATAACACTCTTCAAAATGCCTTTCTTCAAATCTCTTCATGATTTCACCACCCCATGTATCTCTCTAAAAAGAAAATCACAGCAAACCAGATTCATGTAACATCCAGCTGGTGTTTTGAGAAACTGAGTGACTTACCTTCTGCTTTTCCCGTGGAAGGCTGATCCATCAATAAGATCCAGTTACCACTGAAAAGACAGGCAAGGAAATGCATCGGGCTCTCTCGAAACCAGCCTGGGTTGGCCCAGAACCAGAGAAGCAGGCAGCACCGAGAAGAACAAGAAAGTAACTATGCCGAGCACAGTGACTCAACACTGGTGACTCCAGAACTTGAGAAGCTGAGGCAGTGACAGAGTGAGACCCTGTCACAAAACAAAACCAAACAAAACCACAGATGGAGATGAGGAAGACTACCCAGGAAGACTAAGTGGAAGGAAGAACCAAGGCTGAGGAGATGACTCAGTGGGTAAGAAAACTTGCTATGTAAACACAAGAACCTGAGTTCAAACCCATCACTCATGTAAAAAAATAAAATAAAATCAGGCATAGCTTCATGCTCCTGTAACCCCAACCAAGGCAGGAGGATTGTCAGAGCTAGCTGACCATGGGGCTAGCTCCAGTTTCAGTGAGAGACTGTCTCAAAGGAATAAGGCAGAAAGTGGTGAAGCAGCCTCCTCTGGCTTCTGCACACACACTTCTTCATGTACATGTATGCATACAACATACGCATATGCCACAACACACACTCACACACAGGCACACACGCATTCACATACAGAGCCACAAATAAATAAATAAAAGGGAGGGAAGAAAAGAAGAAAGTAAGGAAGGAGGGAGGGAAGGAGCGAACGAACCAGAAGAGGAGCCAGAAAGACCCCGTTGCTCCTTCTATTCAAAGTTTCCAGGTCAGGGAGCAATGTGCCTTCAGACCTGGCATCCCTGGGTTCAAATGATTTATTTTTCCACTTGTCGTTGTCACCAGGAGCTTTCATATTACTTAATTGAACTCTCTTCACCCTTCCCTCCTTTCTTCTTGTCCTGTGTAACTTCCTGACTCCTTCCATGGGCAGAACAAGCCAAAACATCAACTAATATAAAACGAACATGTGAAAGGAAGCCATGACTTAAGACAGGATACCGGTTAGTGCATGTGAGGGCAGAAGTCTTAGCCACTGTTCTATTGCTGGGAAGAGACACCATGACCAAGGCAATGCGCTGGGGCCTGGCTTACAGTTTCAGAGTTTTAGTCTGTTATCATCATGGCAGGGAATGTGACAACAGGCAAGCCTGGCTAAGAGCCACATCCTGATCCATGGGAGACAGTGGGCTTGGCATGGGATTTTGAAACCTCAAAGCCCAGCCCATGACATACTTCCTTTAGTAAGGCCATACCGCCTAATCCTTCTAATCCTTTCAAATATGCCACTTGCTGGTGACTAAGCATTCATGAGCCTGTGCAGGCCACTGTTATTCAAACGACCATAGTGGGAATATTTATGGGACTGTTGACTGAGCAGCCGGCTTTATGGGAAAAGGACTCTTGAATTTTCTAGGGGGTACAGACATGTCCAAATTGGCTTCTGAAACAATCATTCCACCCTGCAGGCAACATAAGCAGTCTGTCACCTGGAGCTTAGATGGCTAGGGGCAGCCTTTGTCTCCCACTGAAATTCACCCTGCTTCTGGGAGTTCTCTGAGATGGCCCTTCCCCCGTTACTGAATCCACAAGTTCTTTTCCTGCTGATAGCATCACCCAACAGTTCTGGGGAGTAAGTAGGAAGTGTGACCCTGTGGTCAATGAGCAGAAAAGGGAAACAACTCTGGAGGCTCCCGGGCTGCTGGTGTGGGTTTTCACCAGGTCTTCATTCTGACAGTTCAGTATTCATACTCTCATCAGAGAATGGAGGAGACTTCCAGGCATCAGGGTGCCACCTCTTTTCTCCCCTGACTTGGTTACGTTCAGGTCTGTGACAGCGCGGTGGGTGTATCTGTATCACTGTAACGAGATGATAATGAGCTCAGCATCCTCTGGAGTGTCAACATGACCTCCACATCAAACCTCGCCGACGTGGAGTTCCTGTGGAACATGTGTGGTAACTGGGTAGCCAGCATCCAGGAGCATGTGGTTATCAGCATGTTAGCTGTAATTTGTGGGGGCAAGTGACAGCTGGCTGGACAACAGGCTTTAGTCATTTGAGAGCTCTTATGTAGTGACCTGGGAGCCAAGCCCTGCTCACCATCACTGCTCTGAAGAATGCTCTGACTCCACAGCTGCAGAGGCACTGTCCTCAAGCCAGGGAGCTTTTGCCTGACCCCATGTCAGATCACTGGAATCTTGCCCAAGGAACATTTGCACAGTAGACTCCTTGAGAGGAACTTGCCCATGTGTGAACTTTAAAATATGAAATGCATCTCCATTTTGCATTGCCTACTTTGAATTTTAAATGTCACCTCTAAAAATGCAGAAAGGCACGCTGCTCATCATTCTGATACAAATAAGCAGGAAGCCAAACCAAACCCTGTTTCTTACCAGGCTTGTTGGTCATTCCCTGGGTCATCCTGTCCCTAGTCTCTGAAGTCTGTCTTCATAGGTGACTACACCCCTTCTGGTCCTGGTCCCCAAACTTACAGAGCCACCAAAGGATTAGAGGCCTCCCTAAAAATATCCAGCTGAGAATGAGCCCCTCAGCCCAAGGCTGTGTGACACTGTCTGGACAGCATCCTAAAAAAAAAAAAAAAAAAAAAAAAAAAAAAAAAAAAAAATCAGTGGAGAGAAAGCTGGCTCTCTGAGCATTCTGCCTGCTACATGAAAACAATTCTACTTTCTTTTTCCCCCAAGACAGGGTTTCTCTGTGTAACAGAGCCCTGGCTGACTTGGACTTGCTTTGTAAACCAGGCTAGCCTTGAAGTAACAGAGATCCCCCTGCCTCTGCCTCCCCAAGTGCTGGGATCAAAAGTGTGTGCCGCCACACCCGGCTGACAGTTCTACTTTCTTATTTGGCCTCCCATGAGGCTTTGTTATATGAATTCAAGCTGCTGAGAGGAGTATCCAAATTCGGCTGTTCCTGTAGGGCCTGGGGATGGATGTGGAACACTGCTCCCAACTCAGAACATCAGGGACACTGCAGCACCGCTCCGGTTATAGCTGAGCCCTCTGCCCTGTATGGCTGTCCCCAGATCCTTCCATCACAAAAGTCTGATACCATCAGGGACACAAGTCCCTGTGACACCCTCATACCCCATATACCCTGCAACAGTGACCATAAGGAGGGCTGTGGAAGGCTTGTAAGCCACAGCCCTTCGCTCTAGAGTTTTAACTCCAGGAAAAAGACATAAATGTAAGAGAAGGACTGTGTGCTTGGTAGCTCACCTGCACTTTTTCTCTCATGCTCTCTCTCTTATTTGCTCTCATATTCTCTCTCTCTTCCTCTCCCTCTCCTCTTTCCTTTCTCCCTCTCCTCCCCCCCCCCCCGTGTGTGTGTGTGTGTGTGTGTGTGTGTGTGTGTGTGTGTGTCTTCCCCTCACTAGCAACAATGGTCAAAACCCCAGATTTCTTCCCATGAAGAAACCCATGTACAAAAGAACGTGGAGATGCCACTTGGGCACAGTTGACCCCACAGTTCTTAGAGCCCCATGGGGTACTCCACCTCGCAGTAGCACAGGCTCATCAGGTGCAATGGTATCCTGATCTCACCAGGAAGCATGTTCTCCATGACTCAGGAACTGGCTTCTGTCTGAAAGGAAGCAGCTGAGCCGAGACAAACTGAATAATGGCCTTGATGCTCATAGGGGCCACAGAGTGTCCTCTGTCACCCCACGGCAAATTCCCTGCAGCCAGATGTCAGCGAAGGACGTGTGAGCTCCCATGCAGACCAAGTATCCTGGAGGAGGCAGCTCTCTACTGGGTCTGAGACCTTCCACTTGGCACACTACAGGAAGCATCTGCAGTTTCGAAGTCAGAGGCACTCAGGATACCTCAGAGACAGGGTTTCTCTGTGTAGCCTTAGCTGTCCTGAACTTGGTTTGTACACTGGACTGGAACTCACAAAGATATGCCTGCCTCTGCCTTCCTGAGTGAAGGAATTACAGGCATGCACCGCCAAGCCCAGCTTCACTCAGGAGATTTTTTTAAAAAATAATTTATTTGCTTTTATTTTATGTGGATTAGTGTAAAGATGTCAGATCCCTGGAGTTACAGACTATTGTAACTTCCATGTGGGTGCTGGGAATTGAACCTGAGTCCTTTGGTGGTCTCTGGCCATGTTCCTAAAAATACCTATGGACAAGTGTCCTAAGTATGCTACATAACTGAGTTGAGCCACCAGACTAGGCTCTGGATGTCCAGGAAAAAGGACCGGTTGAGGACATACTCCTTGGGGAAAGAGTGCACTCACCCCCTTCAGAATCTCCTCGTCCATTGCAAGTGCCTTGTTGTCGCTCAGGCACAGGCTCCTGCAATTGTTGCCTGACCAGCATTTCTTGGGGCAAAGATGCTGGATAGGGCATTCTTGCTTAGCTGGGCCTCCCCGAAGATATCCAGACTGCAGATTTTCCTTCCCAGGGCCTTGGGCCAAGAGTGGGAAGTTCCTTGGTCAGGGAACTGACCAAGGATGTGAGAGTCAGGATGTGAGAGTCCCCAGTAGAGGGCAGTAAATGTACCTGCACTAGGGTTAACTTTACGACATCTCGTTAGGAAATCATAACCTGGGATGGATACAGGCTACGTGGCACCCCATCCCTTGAGCCCCATGTCTTCCAGAGAGTTGTTCATGTGCTACCCAGATCCACACCTACGCCCCAGCCTTCTGCCCTACACCAGCTATGGTCCAGAAGTGTGATGGGAATGAGAACACTGTGGGCCTTATCTCTGGCTATCCTCTGACCAGGTGTCTCTTCAAGGTCTAGCAGTGATTGACTCCCAGTGCCCCAAACACAGTGGCAAAGACACCCACCCCAGGCCCCCAGGATTTTTAACCCAGACATCCGTTCCTTTGTGTTTTGACCTACCCCAGGAAAGCAATGCTTTCGTTTGACCTGTGACCTTGAACCCTTTCCTCCAGTTCTGATACACGGTAAAGTGGGAGAAGCCAGAAAAGGTCCTGAAGCCATACCTATTGTTCATAACAACTTTTCTCTCTCCATCTGCTCAGGTTCATGCTGCTAAGACCTACTGAAATATGGTGGAGAGTCCCCCAGGGAGCCATTTAAAAGCATTATGTCAATGAGTGTGGGGTGCGGAAGTAGGTTGGGAGGCTGAATGTTCTATAGCGTCTCTGAAGGCAGCAGGCACACCTGCAGTGAAAGCTGGTACCTGCCTGTCTGCCCAGAGCCAGTGACATGGATAGAAAGAAGGCCAGGGGCCTATATGAGCACTGGGGAAATGCTACCTCTGAGAGCTGCTCTCATGGGAAGATGCTCTCAGCTGAGCAGCCCTGGGCAGACACCAACCCCAGGTGGGCTCCTGGGATACTATGCCCTACACCCTGCATGAGTAGCCACAGAACAGAGTCCCTCACTGCTACCAGCCTGACCCCTCCTGGGCCACCTCAAAAATCACATAAAGAATCCCAGCCACCCACTAGTTAGGAGAATGGGGACATCTCTGACACAGACTGTGTCGCCTGATTTTTTTATCGCTTCCCCCCGATGGGACTTCCCTACCAAGCCACTCAGTCTTCATGTGAATAGATGAGCTGGGGTGTCTCTGTACGAGGGCTCCCCTATTCTAGGGGAGAGGGGATGCGGGAGGGAGGGTGAGACTGGGAAGAGAGGAGAGAGGGGCCTATGACCAAGATGTAAATCGAATTAATTAATTAACTTTAAAAAAGAAGAATCCTGGTCCTATCAGTCACTCAAGTCTCTGCTTCCTTTCCAGGATTTAAAGACTGTCCTCTCCCTGCCCCAGTACCCAGGGGAGTTCCTGCACCCCGTGGTGTATGCCTGCACAGCGGTCATGCTCCTGTGCCTCCTTGCCTCCGTCATCACCTACGTCCTGCATCAGAGGTAAGGAAGCGCACCCCAACCCACCCAGAACAGTGGCCACAAGGACACAGTGCTGTGGAAACACAATCCTTCTATCCGGGCTCTCTGATCTTCTAGTATTATTATTATTAGTTCTTTATTTATATTTTATGTGTATGAGTGTTTTGCCTACATGTATGTATGTGTTCTGTATATGTGCCTGGTGCCCAAGGAAGCCAGTAGAGGGTGCCTGGTCCCCTGTAGCTGGAGTTAAGGATGCTTATAAGCCACCATGTGGATGCTGAAAAACAAACCAGAGTCCCCTGAAAAGCAGCAAGTGCTCTTAATGGCTGAGCCATCTCTCTAGCCCTCACTGGCCTTTCTTAACATCAGCCTCTGTGTTCCTGTAAAACTGTGTGAAATAAATCTGTCCTAAAATGGAAGTACATGGGTTCCAGTATCCTAAGAGACCATGGTCAGGCTTACAGAGTCCTTGAAGACCCTCTCTATGGTGACTTTTTAATCTAAGGAGGGTCTTCTAGACAGAGGTCTACTTCTGAGCTTGTTTCTGGCTGCTTGTGTCTTGGAATGGGGATGTGTGTGTTTCTGTGTGCTTGAATCCCTAGAAGATGCACTAGGATACAGGAGGAGGAGATCCCAGGCATAGTCACAACCAAACTCATAATCAAAATTACAAGCCAAGCTTAGGCCCAGGCTATAGGCAGTCACAAGCAGAGGCTTGGTATATCAAGACCACTGTTATAGGAGAGGCTTGGCCCAAACTGTCCTTAGGCTATTTTAGTAGCTCTAACCACTTACCACAGAGTGGCTGGTTAATAGCAATGGCTAGGATAGAAATTGTTTCTTCATAGTTCTAGAAATTGGAAGTCAAGAGCAAGGGTACTGAGCAGGTTTGGTGTCTAATGAGAACTCACGTCTTCATTCATGGATGGTCCTCTCTCTCCCTCTCTCTCTTTCTCTCTCTCTCAGTCCTCCAGTGGTATAAAGAAAAGAGCAAACATTAGGGGTCTCTTTGATAAGGGCACTAAACTCTGCCCCAACATCCATTTCCTAATATCATCACGCTGACCGTTAAGTCTCAACAGAGATTTTGAGAAGAACACCCAAAACACAGAAGCTGTAGGAGGAGACTTAGACAGGTACACGGTCATGATGCGGTGAGAGTCATAGGCTGAGCCATGCTGGTCCTGCCCTAACTGGCTAGGCTGAGCCTAGATATGCTGGTGACCGTGGACCAAAGGCAATCAAACTTTTAGTCACACAAACTGGCCTTTTCTATGTATCAGGCATCTACTCAGAGAGAGAAGAAGCTATCCCAAAAACCAGGAGCTTGACTTCCCCCTCTGAGACCCTAGACAACCCAGACCCTGTCATATGGGTAGAAACTCTACAAAGACCTTTCCAAGCATTGCACCTGTGGAAACCCGCAGAGGTGGACGAGGCTCAGTTGTCTATCTTTCTCATAGCGTGGTCCCTTGGATGGGTTGCTCCCAGTCCTACTAAGAGCCCACTGTTCCTACCATGGACAAGTGTGATATTTCCAGGCTCTTCTCTGACCCAGTGGTTTTTAATGTGAAATCTCTGTTTTCCACAGTGCCATCCGGATAAGCCGGAAAGGCCGGCATGCGCTCCTCAACTTCTGCTTCCACGCAGCTCTGACCTTCACCGTGTTTGCTGGTGGCATCAATCGCACCAAACACCCAATCCTGTGCCAAGCGGTGAGTGCTGCCTTCCCTGTGCTAAAAAACAAAAGTGTGCTTGCCAGCTTCCTCATCACAGCAGAGATATATGTTAATTTGCTTATAAAATAATACCTTAGTGTTTGCTCAGCTGTTGCTCCCAAAGGGAAGAGTGAGGTTTCTATAGTGGGTCTCCATTATATAATCCTACTCCATCTGAAGCAGGGTGTTTCGTCCAACATTTGGCCATTTGAAATGATTTTATTTTTTTTTACTAGAGCAGCTTGTCTAAGGACTAGTGGACCACATACCCAGACAGCTACTGCTCAGCAAATGGTGATCTTCATAAGAATGGGAGCATGATGTCCTTCCCAAAGACCAGTGTGTGAGACAGGACCCTGAGGTGGGCTGAGTGAGACCTTTTAGTGCTGACCTCATCTTGCCAGCAGATCTGTCAGCCATAGGTGCAAATGGCAGATGAGGCTCTGTCCCACATGAAACAAGCAGAACATCTCGGCATCTCTGCTCTCTCCTAGGGGAAGGGGAGCTTTGAAACACCAATCATGGGAAAGAATAGTACAAACCACAAGGCAGATCATCTTCACATATGTGGCCTGGTTTGACTGGCTTAAACCAGGAAATAGAAGTGACCTGTGGCCCATGGCTAAGATGATGCTGGAGAGACCCCTTTCAAAGCCAAGCCTAGGACTGTCCTTTTGGGTTGTGGCTCTGGGTCAAGGAGACCACATTGGTCCTTCTCCACAGATAAGCTCTACAAGTGAGGCCAGGCAGGGACACAAGGACCCAGAGCAACTTATCAAAAACCTTAGTGGTTTCCGTCATTTCATAGCCAACAACTTCCCAGCACCATGGGTCCTCAGGTATCCCTAACTGTTGTAAATTGAGCAAATAGCTATTGGCAGCTGCAGAAATGACCCCAGCCAACCTGAGGACTGCTTGACCTACATTAATGACAAGTGACACTTTAACACTTCCCTGGCATCTCCCATGACCTGTCCTCCTGCATGGGTAGCTAGCTGTAGGCAAGGCTTAGCCTGAAGATCAATGGGTAAAAGGCTGTTCCCAGAGCAGCCTGGCTAAAAGAACACACCCTCCTTCCTTCCCAGTCCTACCCAGACCCACCTAGCTCAGACAGGCTTAAACTGACCCAACCACTGTTACTTTTTTCCCTACACTGATGCCATTTGAGGCCCAGAGTGTTCTGTGAGTATGATGCCCACACCTCAAAGATACCACCAAAGACACCACTCATGCTCTGATCCCCTGAGCACCAAATGTATATGACTGTGTGACACACCCAACCCCAGGAAGCCAGGTCATTACCCTAACCCTGGGCCAGACAAGCAGATGAGGCGGTACAGCACACCTGAATGGAAGGGAAAGAAGACAGTTTCCTCCATCACTGCCTCTGTTAAGCTGGAAACTGCCACAGTGAGAGCTAGAAAATCCCACTAACTCCTGCTATAAAGGCCTGCCCAGAAGCCATGGAAAAGGCAATTGAGTGGGTCGTTATCTTTATGTCTTCACTCTGCCACCAAGTGCTGCGGAGCTGGGGCCTGCTGGCCATACACACAGTCACTAAAAATCATCTTAGTGCCTCCATGAAATCCAGCGCTGGTCCCAGGCACAGGCCAGCCCCATGAAGCCCCAAGGAGCCAGGTACCCATGGCATTCCAGAATTCCACTGGGAAGAGAGGTTTTGGTAGATGGGGACAAATGGGCCTGGAAATATCCCCTGAGCTAAGATCTGTAAGGGTCATGTTCAGATGTGAATGCCTTAGTGACAACACTGGGACTCCTGATGATGGACAGGTCCCTGTGTGCCGGAGTAGGGTGAACTGCAGCAAACAGACACCTCCTGGTCTCCTGGGCTTTCCCTGAGATGGCCAGCCTCTATTCATCCCTCTCTTGGCAACACACCTGCCAGGCACAGGCAATGTCAGGGGTGTGGGACCGGTGGAAACACATCTTGCCAGGCTATGTTGAGAGAAGCAGACTAAGGGCCAAAACAGCCACAAGGCAGGTGAGGTTTTGGAGACACTGAACTGCTGCAAGGGCAGGAAAGTGGGCAGAGGGAGAACACAGGATAAACAATAACTAAAGGGTAGGGGGTGAAGTTCCCACAAAACACCCCAGGTGAGAACCTCCCCGACACCAGGACATTTTTCAATATCGCCATGCCTGTAAGCAGAAGTGAGGGTGTCTATCGCTTCTGAGGCCTCCGTGAGCCAGAGGCCAGGCTCGTTTTAACCAGCAGCCTGGCATGTCAGAAGCTAGCCTGGCTCACTCAGCATCTGCTAAGAGGGAGATACCTGAGGGGAGCAGGTTAAAGTCTAGTCCACTGAAAGCCAGATGTGTCCCCACTCTGACTAGCAACCAGGTGACTGAGTACGGGAGTCCCGGCCCCTCCCCATCCAAGCTCAGCATCATCACAGAACAACCAGGAGAAGTGGTCCAGAGCTCTGGATAGCTGGCAAGAACAGACAGTTGTCATGGCAACAGAAAGATGACCGTGAGTCTCATTAAAGTACTAAGTGACATCATAAACAAAGCAGACGGCTGCCGTTAGTCCCACATAATGAATGTGCGTCAGCGCTGGCCCTGGGTCCGGAAGCAAGGGAGGGTGTCCTGGCGGCTTCTTCCTTTCAATAGCACATGCTGTCTGGAAGCCAAGCGGCATCCCTTGACCTCCCTACGCATTCTGCCTCCAGTTGGTGTTTAAGAGACAAAGCCTGCCTTTGTACACCTCTCCTGCTCCCTGATCATACAGCCTGGAGGAGACTCAGCTTAAGGGAGGAAACAGACAGTCCTCCTCTCCCTCTCTCCTCCCAGTACTGCTCCCACCCAATGCAGGGCCCTAGACCACTGTCTCAAGGCCGAAAATCAGGAGCCCCTCTGAGGGTGAGTCTGACGTTTCTGTTTGTATGTGACAATGACAGCCACACTGCAAACCTTCCTCCAAGTTATGGCTGCCCTCCCCTTTTCTGATTGCCTTTGCATTGAACTCTTAGATGACAGACAGTTCTTGCCATCAAGGCTCATGGCCTCCTACTCTCATCCAGGAGAGGTGAGCACAGTGTGGCTGGGGTGTCCAAGTGGCCCATCTTACCTGAGCAGTAGCAAAGCCCAGAAAAGGCCAAACTCACAAGACATGCTGCACTGTATCTACAAAGCCATCTGAAACTATAAACAGTTTTTCAATCTCTCTAACCCCCACCCCGCCTCAAATCCTCATCAATTATTATAGCGTTTGCTCATAAGTAAAAATTGAACTCTGGATTTGATAAATCATTATAATGGCGCGATGTTAGCTTTATTCGGGAAATCTCTGTATTCCTTAAACATTTATGTCCTTTCCGATTATAGCAATATTTTACTTGTCATTTCAAAATGTCAGGTTAGTACCTCAAAGGTAGCCTTATTTTATGGAATCAGATGGAGATGAAGCAGTACAGAATGCGTAATTAGCTAGCGTAAAAGTGCTGGCTGGGACCAGCTCCAGCGGCTGTTTCCATAGCAATGAGTCACTGTGACGTGAAAGGGTGGGTTATGAGAGCCTCATCCCTGAGGTGCCTTTCCTTAAATTCAATGCCACGGTGAATGCATGTTGGGAGCCTTGCTGTGAAGCTGTGTCTGCCTTCCACTTGGGGTGCCCAGAGTGGGGCCAGGGTTCACAGGTAGGTGTGTGCACCAGAGCCCATACGTCAGGATGGCACAGACATCCTGCAGATGTCTGTGGGGGGGGGGGGAACCAGTATGCAAACCCCAAGCTTCCCACAGGCTCACACACATGGCAAATAGTTGCCCCTGACCCATTACCTACCTGTCCTGCTGGACTCACTTTTTTTTTTATTGTCCCTAAAGAGTTGCAGAGTAGCTGCCAGGGTTCAGCACACACATAGCCCAGAAAGTTTGGGCTGCACACAAGGAGTCTGCTGTGCTGTGCTGGGGCAGGTGGCTGGAGGAGGTGGCTGGCTGACATTCTCCCCTCCCAGGTGGGCATTGCACTGCACTATTCTACGCTTTCTACCATGCTGTGGATCGGGGTGACTGCCAGGAACATCTACAAACAGGTGACCAAGAAGGCCCTGCCATGCCCAGGTGTGGACCAGCCACCGTACGCCAAGCAGCCCTTGCTCAGGTATCCAAGAATGCTCATGGGCCCCTCTACCACCTGAGCCCATGAAACTCATGGGCCTGGAGAATACTGCTTATGTTTCCTGCAAACCTTTCTCACCAGGCTCCAGGCCTGCATACGTGTCCTAGGGGCTGGACAGAGGTAGGAGATGGCACAGTAATGATGGGGGTGGGTGTGAGGGGTCTGGGGGTCAGGAATTGGGAGACACTGTGCTAAATAGGGGAACCAGGAGTAACATGCGGGAGTAGAGCAAAGTCCTGGGGTAAGATGGGTTCAGCCATGGGGGTGAGGCTAATATAGGGATAGAGACCTAAGGTAGGCCTGGGGAAACTTGAAGGACAGAGCACTGCCATGGCATCTCTGGCTGCAGAGTGGCTAGTCTGTGTCCCTATATTGCATGGGCCACTGAGCTGCCAATTTCCTGGTAGAAAGCACTCATGCACCCTGGGGTAAACACATCTGGCAACTGGGCAATTGTGGCTCTGGTTTACTTCCTGGTCTTGGTGACACTAAGGCATCTGCCTTTAGCTAATAGAAAACCTTCTCACATTCTATCACTAACTTCATGGTCACAGTGCACTGGCCTGTTGGGAAAGGAGACTCTGCTCAAGCTATGTCCACTACGACCTCTCCTTGGAGAGAATTTTCAGCAGATTTGGAACCATGGGTATTCTGGCACCATGGAAACAGCCTTTGAGGGCAAAGGCAGGGAGACAGTTGCTTCTGTCTTACCGGGGTCAGAGACAGAGAAACTACAGAACTACCCCATCTAGGAAGTTGCAGGGGCCCTCCCACTTCCCTTGGAAAACAGCTGTGCTGCAAAGCAACTGAAAGTTACTTTGGATGAGAATATGACTGTAACCATAGTAGACAGCAGTCGGCAATAGGAACCCTGTGGCTTTGTCACTTGCTCAAGACCAACACTACAGTCGGCAAAATCCAGACTCAGAGTAGCTTACCTAGGAGACTCTGGGTATAGGCGCCACCCTATATAAAGCAGGCCTTGCCTATCCTGCAGGCCACTGAGGTTCCACAAGCCTGAGGGTCCTGTCAGGACCTGATGGTGCTAGGACAGCCCCTGGGGCTAGGATCCCAGGTCAGTAGCGTGTCTGACTCTCCCTGACTCCCCCAGCCCCTTCCCTCATGGCTAGCTTACATATAGCTTGGTATACATACCTGATATACGTACTCCCTCTAAGGGCACACCATGCATATGCATGTGTAGGTGTATGCCTTCTGCATACAAATGGGAACACCCATCCCACAGGTACATAACTCCTGTTGATGCGTGTTGTCTACACATGCATTTGTGTGGCCTCTGCAGATTCACACGCTCTGCAGGATAGCATCATTCGGAGGTGCAGATTCAGGCATTACAAGGGGTGTCAATCTCCACTAAGGGCCTGCTTCCCTCTGGCTGATGTCTGGCCTGACCTGGGGCTGGTAAGGGAATTGCTGTGCCTGACCCTTCTCAGAGAGGCTAAGAAGGAAGCAGGGAGCCTTTCATCTCAGACCCCATAGTGGGCCCTCTGACACTTGATCTTCATTGTTAACATGACTGCACTGAGAGAGTCCTGAGACCAGAAAAATACATCTGGGTGTGTCTATGAAGACAATTCCAGAGATGGCTGGATAGATAATGCAGGAAAAGCCCGCCTTGAATCTGAGCAGCAGCATCCAATTAGGCCGGGGCCCAAATGGAATACAATGAGGAAAGGAGGACACCAGCCAGCATGTACAAACCTCATGCTTCCTGGGAGGGTACATCTATATTTGGCTGCCATAGCCCATGGATTCCAGACTCCATCTTCTTTAGAATTTGAACATTCTCACAGCAGTTACTCTTCAGGGAACTTCCATGTTTTCAGCCTCACTCTGAGGCATCACTGGTCCCTCTTGTTCTAAGGCTTCCAGCTTCTTGAACTAAGCCTGTAGGGGGCCGTCTTCCTCTCCAGCATGCAGACTGCCATTGTTGGGCTGCCGAGCCTTGATTGTGTGAGCCAATCTAATGAATCTTTTTTTGTATTGCTATCAAACACAATAACCTTAAGTATATACATATATACATACATCCTATCGGTTCTGTTGCTCTAGAGAACACTGACTGATGCACCCTCCATCTCTGGCCCCACAGCCTCTAACATGCCCTCCTTAATTAATCCAGCATGTCACTCAGGTGTCACTCCCTGAGACGTCACACTGGGCATCTCTCTGAGCTTGCATCCTGCCCGCATCCCCAAACACAAAAGCACACATCGACATCCACTGAAGTCAATTCCAGATGTCTAGGAACTGCACAGTCCCAGAAAAGAAGAGCTCCCAAAGTCCCACCAGCTTCATGTCCTGCCTAACCGCTCTCTGGACATAATGCCTGCATCCCTTCTCACAGGACCCTGCACCACCACAGGCAGAACAGCCAAATCCCGTGGGTGCAGCTGATGAGCTCTTTCCTGTGTGCAAAGGCCACGTGGCCAGCCTAGCCTGCAGGTTTCCAAGGAAAGTACTAACAGAACTGCCTGCATGGGCTTCTGGGGGATCCCAGGACACGCTGTTGGAGCTTTCCACATTTCCAGCAACCTTCCCTTCCTTGGGGCAACACTGCAGTCTCGGTGTTTTAACACACTTCCTGCTCACCTTGGGGGGCACGCACCCACCCTGGAGAAACTTTGAAAACAAGAAGATTCGTAGGACTTAGGCAATGGGTATTGTGCAAGCCTGAGACCCTCTGTGTGAGTGCTGGGTATGATGTCACTGGGTGACAACATGAGGACAGAGGGTTCTAGCTCCCTAGAGCCCCCTCATGTGTGTTAGGGCTGCTTCAAGGAAAGAGGGATCCACTGAGGTCCAGCAGAGAGAAAATGAGTGGGCCTCATTGTCAAGGTTGAAACCAAGTATTTTCTTCTCAACCGTGATGGAGGTTGGTGGTTTCCATGACAACAACAGCAAAAATCTAGACTCTCAGTGGGGTTTCTGTGACTTTAAGATAGTGTTTCACCTGGTCTCATCTCCCCTCACATCTCAAGATGTGCATTTGAGTATGTATACATGTGTGTGCACACTCACAGAAGATTAAGGGACACCCTGAGCAGCCCATGTTCAGCCAAGCCTTCAGAGAATGGCCCCAGGTATGTGGAGAAGCAGCAACCCAGATCTCTTCCTCAATAGCAGGGTGGATGCTCGGACATGGAGCTTATGTCACAGACGCCAAGTCATCAGAGACCAAAACTCAGTGCAGGGATAGGTCAGGTACTCACACAAGCTCGTAGCTCTGGCCTTGGGCAGTCTGTCAGGTCCTTTCAGCTCAGCCTGCAGTGGGAATGATACGGCCTGCAGATCGTGTAAAGAAGCATTGTCATTTTCACAGGGATGAGTCTACAGACATAGCCTCCTTTCTGTGTAAGGAAATCTTTGATTTCCCCAGAATCTCCTGTAATCTGCAACACAGAAGATGGGGCCTCCTTGTTTACACTGTTTAAAGGTTTTTTTTTTCCTTTTAAACATTGCTATAGCCAGGTGTGGCAGCTCATGCCTATACTACTGGCATTCAGGAGGCCAAAGCAAAGGGATTCTCACAAAGTTCAGGACCAACTTGGAGTACATAGTGAGTTCCAAGCCAGCAGAGATGACAGAGTGAGACTTTGATTCAAAAATAAAAAAAGTTACTATTAACATAAATTGTTATATTCTCAATTTTTATTTCTAATCGCCCCCATGCTTGCCTATAGAAATACAACAGTTTCAGTGTGTGGATCTTGTGTTCCAAAGGTTTTTGGTTAATTCTCAGGAGTTGTGTGCATGTAATGACTGTGTGCCCAAGGACAGAGTTGCTTCTCCCATGTCAGTCTGTACGCCTGTCCTTCCTTCTATCTGTCTAACTGCTCTGGCCTAGCCTCCAAGTCAGTACTGGTCTTATCTCCCCTCTTAGTGCCAGGTTTATTGAGCATTTTAAAGAACCAGCTGTTGGTGTATCCTCTCTCTCTCTCTCTCTCTCTCTCTCTCTCTCTTTCTCTCTCTTTCTATTTTGTCATCTCTGCTCTGTCCTTCCTTCTGTGTGAACAGGTTTGGTTTGCCCTTCTTCATTCTTCCTAGTTTCCAAGCCATGTGAAATCATAGGATTAATCTTTAATTGAAGTGACTTTTTCATAGCTGTAGGTTTTTCTGCATGTGGCGTTGCCAGGTCCCAAAGGCATATTGTATGGTTTTTCTCTCATTTTAAAATAAGTCTCTAGTTTTCCTTGTGGTTCCTTTCTTGATCTTCGGTTACTAAAAGAGTGTGTGGTTTAATATTCACATGTCCTTAGATATTAGAAGACAGGAGAAAAAAAAAACTGCCCAGAAATGTGTGGAGATTTTTCTTTTAGTGATGATTTGGAATGAAGACATTTCTGGCTTGCTCATAGTGGATGGTGAAGTTTCAGCTGCTCAGACTCTGTGGAGAGATTTTTACTACAGTCAAGACACAAGTCTCATTTCTTTATCATGTTTAGAAAATTCTGTGTGTGTCCAGTGGTTCCATGGCCAGGGAAGGGGCAGAAAATCAGCTGAGAGTAGGTAGGTGTACATCTTACCTCTGGGTAAGTGTAGGCTGTGCCTTGACTTGCCACTAGCTTCCTTTTTTGGAGTGGGAAGAGGAGAGTGGGGTGTGGAATTGTGTTGTTATGTGCTAGTGGGAACTGCAATCTCTAGAGAGTACAGGGGTTGAGGACCCTGAGCATAAATCACCCATCATGCAGTAGGCCCATAGCCTTGATAGCGGTCTCTGGCACAGACACAGCTGTGGATTTAATAAGGTTCACATCCCTTCCTTAGCTCTATCTCAAGCCTTGGGCGGGGGGGTGGGGGGTTAAGAAACTACTTGTAACCAAGAAAACCCTTAGGAAAGCCCAGGAGCAGAGAGTCTCAAGAAAGAGAGTCCTGGGGCCTAAGCTAGGGAACTGAAGGTCTCTGACAAAGACAGTCTGGCTTTCCCGATAGGAGGGAGACTTTGAATAGCCCTAGCACAG